TAGAATGAAAATCAAAGGATGGAAAATAATATTCCCTGAGACATGAACCTGGAAAAAAAGCAGAAGTAGCTATTCTATTTGCAGACAAAATAGACTTTAAGCAAGACTGATCAAGAGAGACAAAGACAGTCATTACAATGAATTTCCAAAATACCTGAGGGCTATGTTCCTAGAGCACTCATGAATTGTGAAAAACTGTGAATGTCAAATATGGTCAGAAAAATGCCTATTATTATAGTTTAAACCCTAAATATGCTACGCCTCCCATAGTTATGTAATTTAATTTAATAAAATACCATATTAGTAAAGCCTTAGAAGGTGCAGCAGCATCTTAGGGCTTTAAAAAGAACAAAACAAAGAACACCAGAGGTATCTACACTTGGTATAGCAACCAGCAATGCTGATGCATCTGCTGGAGATGAGTCATAGGGAAGCAGCCAATTAGCAGCAAGGAGAACTGAGTAAGCTCTTGGATTGGCTACTTGCAAACCTCCTGCCAACAAAATATTGCAGAGAATACATGCAGTTTCTGCAAAATTGTGGGGGTTTCCAGGAACAACTGTTAGTCAGGTTCTAAGGAAAATTGTGTAAAGGACGGAGGCCATGAAATTTGAACTCTGCAGGGGAATACTGTACATACTTGAAAATTCTAAGAGGAAGAGATAACACTAGTAAATATATATGCACCAAATACCAGCACACTCAACAATATAAAACAAATATTAATGGGCATGAAAAATCACATAAGCACTAATACAACTGTAATGGGCTACCTCAATGCCCCACTGTCACAAAGATATCAAGGAGAAAAACTAAACAAAGAAATATCAGAACAGAACCAAAGTTTTGAACAAATGGATTTATTGATATCTATAGAATGTTTTACCCCAGAACATCAGAATACTTATTCTTCTCAGCTGCATACAGGATGTTCTCCAAAACGGTCCACATTTAAGCTCACAGAACATGCTTCAGTAAATGCAAAGGAAATGAAATTATCCCATGCATATTATCAGACCATAGTGCAATGATATTACAAATCAGTAGCAAAAGAAATCACAAAACTACGAAAACACATGGAAAGTAAATAACACTCTATTAAACAGCCAGTGGGTCACAGATGAAATTAAAGAAGAAATTAAACAACTACAATTAAACAATAATGCCAATACAACATATTGGAACATATGGGACACAATGAAAGCAGTCATTAGAGGGAAATTTATAGCAGTGAATTCCCATAACAGAAAAACAGAGTGAACTCAAACAACCTAATGTTGAACCTCAAGCCTCTAGAAAAAGAAGAGTAGTCAAGCCCAAAGCTCATATGAGGGAGGAAATTATAAAGATCAGAACAGAAATTAATGTAGTGGAGACTTAAAAAAAAAAAAGGAAAGAAAAGACTCAAATCCATGCAATTAGGAATGAAAAGGATACAATCATAACAGAAATGACAGAAATCTGGAAGATCAATATCTACTTTGAGAACCTGTATTCTAGAATACAGATGAAATGGATACTTCCTAGATGCATATGAATTATCAAAGCAAAAGCAAGAACATATTAAAATTCTAAATAAACCAGTATCAGTCAATGAAATTGACTGTAATTTAAAACCTATTAAAACAGAATGGCCAGTCCCTGATAGATTCACAGCTAAATTTTTTCTTTACAGCTAAATTTTACAAGAAAGTTAGAGAAGATCTAATGCTACTTATTCCTCAAACTCTTTAATGAAACTGAAAGGGAAGCAATATTCCCAAACTCATTCTTTGAAGCAAGCATCACCCTGATACCAAAACCAGAGAAGCATCCTAGCAAAAAAAGAACTATGGGCCAATCTCCCTAATGAACACAGATGCAAAAATCCTCAATAAGATAGTGGCAAACAGAATGCAGCAAATCATCAAGAAGATTATACACCCTGACTAGGTGGGATTCCTCCCAGGAATGCAGGGTTGGTTCAACATATGCAAATCAATAAATGCAATATACCATATTAACAGAATCAAGGACAAAAACCATTTCAATAGAAACAGAAAAAGCATTTGACAAAGTCCAACACCATTTCATGTTAAAAACCCTACAGGGCCAGGGATTTAGCTCAGCTGCACAGTGACTGCCTGGCAAGCGTGAGGTCCTGAGTTCAATCCTCAATACCAAAAAAAAAAACACCTCACAGAAAACTGGAATAGATAGTCTTTATTTCAATCTGACAAAAGCTAATCTGATTAAAAAAAAACCCAACCACCAACATCATATAAAATGGTGAAAAATGGAAATCTTTCACTCTAAAATCAGGAACAAAACAAGGATGTCCACTGTCACCACTCTTGTTCAATATAATTCTGGAAGCATTAGCCACAGCAATTAAACAAGAGAAATTCAAGGATTAAGAATCAGAAAGGAAGAAGTTAAATTATCATAATTTGAGGGTAACATGAAACTCCCATAGAAGATCCCAAAAACTCCACCAAAAGACTTCTAGATTCAAAAACCAAATTTAGTAGCAAAGGCAGATACAAAGTCAACACTCAAAAATCAATAACATTCCTGTACACAAATACAAACTTACTGAGACAGAAATTAGGGAAACTATGTTTTCACAACAGCATCCAGAAAAATGAAATAATTAGGAATCAATCTAATGAAGAAGTAAAAGATCTTTTTTTTTTTTTGGTTTTTTGTGACGTAGTTGAGTCTGACCTGGAACTCACTATGCAGCCCAGGCTGGTCTCGAACTCACAGCGATCCTCCTGCCTCAGCCTCCTGAGTGCTGGGATTACAGGTGTGCACCATCACACCTGGCCAAAAGATCTTTACATTGAAAACTAGTCCTCTGAAAAAGGAGATCAAAGAAGATATCAGAAAATGGAAAGATATCCTTTGTTCTTGGATAGGAAGTTCCAATACAGTGAAAACTGCTGTACTTCCAAAATTGGTATACAGATTTAAGTAGTTCCAATCAAAAACCCATAGCACACATAGTTCACAGAATTAGAGAAAACAATCCAAAAATGCATTTGGAACCTGAAGAGACCTAGAATAGAAAAAGCAATTCTGGGCAACAACGGCAAGGCACAGGGCATCAGAATCCTTGAATTGAAATTATATTACAAAGCTACTGTGACAAAAACAGCAAGGTACTGGCCAAAAAGCAGGCCCAAGGGTTAATGGAATAGATCAGAAGATGCAGAAAAAACTCCAAACACACTCAGCCACCTAATCTTTGACAAAGGAACAAAACACCTTCACCTGAAGAAAGCCTCCTTAATAAATGATGCTGAAAAAACTGGCTTTCTATATGCTGAAGATTAAAACTAGACCAATATCTTTCATGCACTAACCTAAAATCAAAATGGATCAAAGATCTAAATGTTAAAACAGAAACACTAAATCTGCTGAAAGACAGAATAGACCTCTTAAAGACAAAGTTGTAGTCAAAGATTTCATGAACAAAACAATGATTGTACAAGAAATATTACAAAGAATCAACAACTTTAAAAAGCTTTTGCACGGCAAAATAAACTATTAACAGAATGAAGAGAAAACCCAGAGTGGGGAGAAAAAATTTTTCTAGATGTTCCTAAGGCAAATGACTAATATCTAGAATATACAAAGAACTTAAAAAAAAAAATCAGATTCCCCAAATTTAAAGACCCAGTCCAAAAATGGGCATCTTAAATGAGTAGACATTTTTCAGATAAAGAAGTAGAAGTGGTAAATAAATATATGAAAAAATGTTCAACTTTCATTTTTTCTTTTCTTTCTTTTTTTTTTAGTACTGGGGCTTGCACTTGTGAGGCAAGGGGCACCACTGAGCTAAATGCCTGGCCCATGTGCAACTTTTTTTGAGGTGCAAATTAAAGCAACACTGAGATTCCACCTCATTCAAGAAATCAATGGGGCCAGGGATTTAGCTCAGTGGTTCCACCGCCTGCCTTGCAAGCGCAGGGACCTGAGAGAAATCAATGAAAAACAAATGCTGGCAGAGCTGTGTGGAAGAAAAGAACCCTTCTCCACTGTTGGTGGGAGTGTAGACCGATGCAATCACTGTGGAAATTAGTAAGGAGATTCCTCAGAAAACTAAAGATCCAGCTATTCTCCTTGGTATCTTCTTGAAAGAATTAAAAGCATCATAACACAGCAATATACACACACCCATGTTTATAGAGGCACAGTTTGTAATATCTAAATCTTGGAAACAGCCCAAATGGCCATCAACCAATGAATGGATAACGACACTTCTAGGTAAATAGATGCATCTTGAGACAATACTCTTCAATGAAAAAAAAAATCAGAAACTCATCTTTAAATATCACATTGTTTCTTGGGTGTGAGAACCTCAAAGGATAAATAAGGACCAAAATGAGTAACAGATATTGGGAAACAGGAAGAAAATGTTCAAATGGGAAGAGGAACAAGGGAGAGGGGAGGAGGAAAGGAAGGGAAAAGGAAAAAGAGAGCAGAAGGGGAGCCAGGGTTTTAGCTCATTGGCACTGTGCCTGCCTCGCAAGTGCAAGGTCCTGAGTTTGATCCCTGGTAATGGAAAAAAAAAAAAGAGCAAACAGAGGTAAAAAAATGGAAGCAGAGCTTTTGTAAAGAGGAAGAGGGAATGGCTGGGGATTTAGCTCAGTGGTTCCTCTGTCTGCCCTGTAGGTGCAAGGACTCAATGGAAAAAAAAAAAAAAAAAAAAAAAAAAAAAATAGGAAGAGGGGTTGAAAGGAGGGGAAAAAAGAAGAATCAAGACACATCATGTACAGGTACAAATTTCCTATGATGAAAGCTACCATTATGTATATTTAAAATGTACTGATAAAATTAATTTTAAAACAAGAAGGTACTTAGTTCAATGAACTATAAAACAAGATTTAGCAAGCAAAATGTTAAAGATCCAACCCCCAAACCTGCCCAATTCTTAGCAAGCTGTCCCTAAAACATGTTTGAGTGAGTCTGAGTGCTGCCCCAGCCCCATCGACCTATGAAGAGAACTTCTGTACCTGGTGCAATGCCATGCTGGAGGTGTGAAGGTCAATAGCAGCCAGAGAAGGTATTCGAGATTTGGAAAGAATTTTGTTCTCTTTCTTTATTAGTCTAGAATTTCGAGCTACATAAAAATAACCATAAATACAATGAAAACATTAGACATTCTGCTAGTTTTTCAGTCTCCATCTGTCCCTCAGTATGACTTATCACACATAAGTATATATTTACTACTTAAATATGCAAAGTTACATAAATTTCTATTGCTGCTCTTGTTATTTTTATGTAATTTTAAATACTGTAAACAAAAGGGCTGACAGGATCAAAGCACCACAACCATACCCCTGCCTTCCAGGGCTCTCAGTTCCGGGCGATGACTGTAGCTCAGTTCAGGCAGCCTCACCTCTGTCTTGGCATACTCCCTTCGCTTCTTATTTGCCTGAAGGAGGTTCTTCTCACTGGAGACCTGCTAATGTCAGGGTGGTTAACACAGATAAACCAGCTCAAGGTATGCTAGAGTTTTTTCCTTTGTAACTACTATATATGTACCCTAAAAGGTGTGGATTTCAAGGGCTGGAATGATAAAAAAAAAAATTGAAGGATAGTAACAACACAACAAACAATTTTAGACCTCTTCCTCACTGAATTCCCTGAACTCGATGACAGGTGGCTAAGCGAATTGCTCTGTTTCTCCCCCTTCCTTCACCAGTCATCAGTGCCCCAGGAACAGCAAATGGTTTAAAGACAGCAAGGTGAGCCAGAACCTAGTCCACCTGCACCTCCTGGCTTCCCTAGAACCTGTCACTGCCTTGATTTGTTTGGTTTCCCAAACATGTCCTGTCACTTCTCCTCCAGGTCTGTTTCTCATTCTCCCAGGAAGATCTTGGTGCTTGTTTTGTATGTTTGCCCTTGGAGTTAGCACACGAGACTAACTCCAGGATTCAAGTTATTAAGTAAAACACAACTTCAATTATTTTCCTCCCCTTTCTTATCATTTCATAATTGATAGTCAGAAAAAAAATTACAAAGCAAGGAGTAGAAGCACTTGAATTCTGCAACTTTATAAATTTGATACTTTTCTAATCTTTTTTATTTAAGAACTCCAGAAATTCTACATTTTCCCCCACATTTTGCAGATTGTGATTTTTAAAAAATAATTTTTCTAAATAAAAAGTATGATGATATCATTTATGTGTATGTATATGCATGTCTATACAATGAAATGAACACACAGCAAGTGACATGCAATGGCCATTCCACGCGCTCGGGCCTCTGACACTGTGAGTACAACACTAACAGTCTCAGGTGCTGCAGAGTGTGGCTCCTTTTAGAAGTTTTGCTTACTATTCTAATAGAACAACTGCACAACTTAGGCTTCACTTTATGCATCCAGATGAAACTCCCAGTTCTTCCCTATCCGAGTGAATACTCATGTAAGTCCAGGGCTTGCTCTCCTGCTACTGAGAACACTTCACTTACCGATGTGGGCACATTAATATTATAAATTCCTGGTGGAGACTGTTTACTTGGTTTAACAAATGGAATGCAATACTTCTTAGTTCTCTCATCCACTCTGTAACAAAAACACGTTTAAGTTAGAAGCAGTGATAATTACTTTTTCAAGTGCAAGCCCAAATGACATATCATCAAACCACACGCGGCTACATCAGGATCACAGCCTGTCTGCAAATGCACAATGCATACCTCTGGGGGCTGGGTCTCTCCTTCTGCAATCATGGGGACCACGTGGTACCCACTCCTCCAATCAGCTAACTTCCCTTCTGCAAAGTCCCCAAAGGGCTCCCTGGTAACTAAAGGCTCACTCCAGTGGCAGAGTCCAGAACAGCTCTCCCTCCACCATGAGAACCCCCTTTCAGTTACTAAGCTAACTGGCTTAAACCACACAGCCCATGTTCTTAGGGAATTTTAAAAAAATGAACTCCTAATAATTTCTATCACACAGGTCAAAAAGTTTCAAACTGCTAGCTGACAAGAGTAGCTCCAGAATGGTGTAAAACAGTGTGCTGTGGGTGAATCAGCAAATACTTATACTTTGCAAACATACCTTTACACACTTTGTCCTTGTTTTCCAAATCCATACCTGTAACTGTGGACTCCAGGGTTATGGCCAGGAGCTGCTGCAGATGGAATGTGTGCCAGCGGGGGGATGGCCATACCAGAGACCCTGCTGGCCTGGCCGCCACGGTCCCCAAGGCAGCCTGAAGGCACCACCCCAACGCAGCTCGTCCCACTGTTACGAAGACAGCTGGCATTGGAAGCTCTAGTGCCCTTTTCAATTTTCTCTCCATCAATTTTTGACGCTTTTGTTTTAAATACTTTGGAGTCCTTAATTCTGGTATCAGCATTGGTATCCTGACCATTAATAAAAATATTAAGAAGGTTAATGATCTAAAAGTGAAACAGTACCTCTTCCTATAAGGTACTTTTACCTAGAGCAGAATCAACCCATTCTCCTGGCATCTTTATTCTGTCAATGGAATTAAAATTAAATCCAGATTCATATTCAGATAGTTATTGTGAAAATACAAAAAGTATAGGAACACAGTTCATACTAACACTGAAATATATATTCATGTGTGTGTGTGCATGCCAATTTCAGTGGCAAAAACATGGACAAGCAATCAAGAATGTCACTTTGTTCTGATATATTCAGGGTAAGGAACATAAAATTTTGAACATTTTTTCTTTTGGTATACTTCCTGGTAATGGGTTAATCAAGCACTACTGCACAGTCCAGTACACGTTAGGTGTTCAGAACATAATACAGCTTTCAAACAGGTAATATTAACAGGGAAGATACAGTTGCAACAATGCTAAAAGTTAACAGCTTGCTCACCACTCAAAAATCTTTTTTAGAAACTTCATTTCCCCCTCTTCAAATTTAAAGATTAAAACATGAACACTTACCTGTACCACAAGTGTTTTCCTTTGTTCACCTAAAGATTCATCTTTTTCCTTTTCCTTCTTTCTGTTTTGGGACTTTTTAGGCAAAGAAATATTCCAGGCATCTTTCTGTATTTTTAACTGTAGTTCATGGGAGAATCTATATAAAAATAACACTTTCCAATAAAATTAAATTGTAGTAGACATATACACGTAGAAAAATACTGATTTTCAAGATAATTTTTTAAAAAATTGAGAGTTAAGCTAGTTATGGTGGTTCATGCCTATAATCCCAGCACTCAGGAGGCTGAGGCAAGAGGATCACTGTGAGGCCAGCCTGGACTACAGTAAGACCCTGACTCAAAAAAAAAGGAAAGAAATGCAACTGAGGCTCCAGGAATGTAGCTTGGTGGCATGGTGGTGGCCTAGCAAGCCCCAGGCCCCAAGTTTGAGTCCTGGTGCAAAAAAAAAGAAAGAAAGAAATTCAAACTCTTATGAGAAAATTAGAATTCTGTGAAAACTGTGATTTTAGAAATTTCTCAATAGTTAAAAAGTTTTCTTTTTTTTTTGGTGGTACCAGGGATCGAAATCGGGTCCTTGCACTTGCGAGGCAAGCCACCGAACCGCTGAGCTAAATCCCCAGCGTTAAAAAGTTTTCTAATGAGATGGAATATGAACTTTTAAGAATTATATAATGAGGGCCGGGGATTTAGCTCAGTGGCACCGTGCCTGCCTTGCAAGCACGAGGACCTGAGTGCGGAATTCAATTCCCAGCACAAAAAAATATATAATATGTTATATAATGAAATATATCAACATTTTTAATATCTGCACAATTTAGCCAAATTATAATTTTCCAAATGACTAATGAATGCTGTTGATAAAGCACATATTAGTAGGTCCAGAATTTGATCACTTGTACCATAAATAGCATGTATTCGTTAAAGAACTGTTCAGAAAACAAAATAGAAATGGGTTTTAATGCAATAGGTGAAGAAAAGTTCCCACTGTAACATATTTACAGAGCAACCAGGATAAGTTCTGATGTAGCATCAGAATTAGACACAAAATCAAAGAATACCCACAACTACTTAAAAAGGCTATTAAAATATTCTTCCTTTATCCCAAACACACATTTGTGTGAGGAGAGTTTCTTCACATACTTTTTTTTTTTTTGGTACTGGGGATCAAACTTAGGTCCTCGTGCTTGTAAGGCAGATGGCGGAACCACTGAGCTAAATCCTTGGCCCTCTTCACATATTTCAAGAGTTCAAGAGCAGTCTGAATTACAAAACAAGACCCTGTGTCAAAAAAAATTAAAAAATAAAAAAGAACCCACTATCTTTCTTATTAAGCTAGATGTTAATGAAATCTGTAATTATAAAGCAATATGGCAGTCCCTGATCTCACTGTTTTCTGTTCTGTCAGCTGCAAAGAGGCAGCACAGAGATGGAGACAGCAGTTCCAGCACCCGTGGCCCACGCAGCACCAAAGGTCTCCAGCAGCACTGGACACACGTGAGCATGCATGCGTGTGTGTGCATGTGTGTGACTGGTATGAGGGAGGGGACACAGCACATTTGCAGACACATAATGCCAAGGTGACAGCATTGCACAACAGGCAAAAGCCTAGGAATTAGGGACCTGATGCAGACGTCACACCAGGGGACAGGGAAGGAAAGCAGAAGTGACTGCTTCATCACACCGACACAGGAAACCACTCTAGGTTCTGCACTGCTGCTGAGGTGGGTGGGTGCACAGAAGAGGGGACAGCGTGTAGACGCAGGCAGTGACCAAGCAAGACAGCTGTGGAAGCCTCACTCCCCCCAACACACTGCTCAGCCCCGTGGCCTGGCCAAGCAGTTGGCACCATACCTCTCAGCAAACCCGTCCACCTGGAAGAAGGCATGGTGCAGGAGCTCAGCACACAATGGCCTTTTGTCAGGGTCAACATGTAAGCATCTCTGAAAAAATAAAAAATACAATTATTAGCCAAGAAAACTGCCTACATTTAAATTTCTAGATACTATATAGGAAAACAGAAAGTTAACCATTACAGCCAATGAATTTTAAATATCTATATTTAAGAATAAAGTACAACTCTAGAAAATGACTATCAATGGTTGCTAATACCACAAAAAGAAAAAATCACCATCCAGTGTCTCTAAGAAGGAATAAACAAACTTCCAGGAAGTAGTCCTGCCCAAACTAAATCTGATTCTGACCATATTCTAGCTCTCCTGCAAGTCTGATTACACTATGGGGATGATGGTACAGGGAGGGACACAGCCTGCCTGCTTCAATACTTCGTGAGGTTTAAAGAGAAAAGAAAGATTAAAAGAACCTTATATTACAGCACCACAACTCATAATTGCTAAACCTTGGAAGCAGCCTATATGTCCATCAACAGATAAATAAAGAAAATGTGGTATTTACACACAATGGAGTACTACTCTGCCACAAAGAAGGATACGCTTGAACAATTTGTAGGAAAATGGATGCATTTAGAGACTATAATGTGAGGTGAAACAAATCAGACATAGCTTAAATATCACATAACTTCTCTTATATGAGAAACACAAAGTAGAAATAATTTAAAAAACAAAATTAAAAAATGGAAAATAGGAAATAGGAAGATAGATCTTTTGCAAAAGAAGAACGTACTGAACTGGGAAGAAGGAGAGGGAACGGTGAATAAAAAGAATCTCAATATGTTAAGTAAATGTACCCACTCTCTAAGATGAATGTAAACATTACATACTACAGGGCTGGGGATTTAGCTCTGTGGTTCTGCTGCCTGCCTCAAAAGCACAAGGACCTGAGTTCAATCCTATCCTGGGTATGAGTGAGACCCACTCTAAGGGAGTATAGCCTGGATAGAATATAAGGGACAGAAAGAGGGCTGCTCTTGCTGCTTGTCGCTTGCTGCCTGCTGCCTTCTGCCTGCTCTGCTTTACAATGAACTGCTTCTCCTCTGCAATGCCCCTGTGTCATGCCAACCTGCCTTGAGCCAGTCAATTATGAACTGAAATCTCTATAAACTGTGACCTACAGGATTGAGGATTTAGCTCAGTGGTGCTGCTGCCTGCCTCGCAAGTGCAAGGTCCTGAGTTTTATCCCCAGTATCAAAAACAAACATAACAACAACAAAACTATAACCTACGATAAACCTTTCCTCTTAACTTTGAGTGTCAGGTAGACACTATAGAAAGAAAAGGAACTCGGCCAGTAGTTTTAAATGAACAAGAAAAGCTCTATGAATGGTTGTGAAATAATATCATGGCTGAGATTTGCTTCAAAATATGCCAAAAAGCCAGGTATGGTGGCACACACCTGTAATTCCAGCACTCAATAGGCTGAGGTTGGACTGCCATGAATTTGAGGTCAGCCTGAATTACATAGCAAGACTCTGTCTCAAAAAACAAACCAAGGGGCTGGGGATTTAGCTCAGTGGTTCCATCACCTGCCTTGCAACCACAAGGTCCTGAGTTCAAGTCCTAGTACAAAAAAAAAAAAAAAAAAAAAAACAGAACAAAACAAAACAAAAAATATGCCAAAAAAACCAAAGTAGCAGGAAGCATGAATAGATTGATAAGATTATCACAGGCTGGTGACTGCTGAAGCCCGGTGACAAGGACATGAGAGTTTACTTTGCTTCTAGTCTTCCTATGTTCTTTTCTATGACTGAAATTTTCTATAATAAAATGTTTAAAACATCATATGATTCTACTTAAGAGACATAAATTAGATGAGAGTTTAAACTTTATTTCTTTTAAATATCTTTGCAGACAAAGTGGTGCCACCACCTTCCTCACAAGAACAAACAAGATCCTGAGTTCAGTCCCTGACACCAAAAAACAAAAAAAGAAAAGAAAGAAAGAAAAGCAGAAAATATACTGTTCTAAACACACGAATTAGTTATAAGCTTACTAAACTTTTTTTTTTTTAACTAAGCTTTTTTATAGAGTTCAAGCAAAAAAGAAGTATTGGGTAAAAGTCGTGCGACCCTAAGTGTCAGTATACTCAATGCAGTCCTGGCTAATGAGAACTTCCCAGCTGGGACTCTTAAAGGCCCAAGTTTCAGAGGCAGGAAAAATCTCCCTAATCTTCCTCAAACAAGAGCGAAAGTAACGGTCATTTGTAAACAAGGTTCAGCAAGGCAAGTGTTCACAAAAGAGTCTCTGCTATTATAATATGAGTTATGACCCTCTGTTGTACATTTACTACTTTACTTCTTTTTTTTTTTTTGGTTTTTTTGAGGCAGAGTGTCCCCTTGTAGTTCAGACTGACCTTGAACTCACTATGTAGTCCAGGCTGGCCTCGAACTTGAGGTGACCCTCCTGCCTCATCCTCCCAAGTGCTGGGATTAGAGGTGTGTGCGCCTAGCTTACTATTTTTGTATTTCTCTAACTTTTCTTCTCACTTCCATGAAAACATTTAAGACATACAGTTTTATGGACTGGGGATTTAGCTCAGTGGTTCTGCTGGCTGCCTTGCAAGCACAAGGACCTGATTTCGATCCCCAGTACCAAAAATAAATAAATAAATAAAACATACAGTTTTATATTTTTAGATTTTTGTAGATGAAGATGTTTCACATTTAAAATATGCTAGATAACTGTAAATGTTTTAATGAGTTTTAAAACAGACATAATTTTAAGGCTTTTATTTCTAAAGTTCCTATACACACCAAATTATTTAAACTCTTCCTTAATGTATGAGAATTAAGGTGATCAGAGGAAACTGTTGACCTAAAAATCAACTAGAAAGAAAGAAATCCAAGTCTCCACAATCCATAATTCCCTTCCAGAAAGTGAAAAGAAAAAGGACAATTACCTTTGTTAAATCTGTCACAACTTGAGAGAGCTTAGGGTAGCGTCTTTCAAGAGGTTCTGTTTCCTGGATTTCAGGCAATCGTACTCCGGCAAACACAGGATTTTTATAAAACAGCTCCTGGTGTTTTGGAATTAAATTACCTAGAAGTGAAAGCAGCACACATCTCTGCCATCGTCCATGAGGTGGTGGGGAGGGAAGGGGACCATGGACACGTTGAGTGGAGTTTGGGACCTGCATCAAAGATACTACAATGGGCCGTGGCAGTCTGTATGGTGGTTTTGTGGTAAGTTGACTCAAGGAACTTAACATTACTATCTTACTTAGAAAAGTAGAATTTATAGGGAACATAGGAAAAGAGCATCTTACAACCTTATGGATCTAAGCACCCACACTTCGTTTCTAATGACAAACTATGATGAGTTGACCAAAATGAAGATAATACAGTCTTGCGGACAGAGTCTAAGCCATCATCTCCTCCCTCTAAGAATTTAATTTTTGGTCAAATGATTTTGTGCCTTTGTCTAAGGTCAGATTTGAGCATAAGATCTTTTTTCCCAATTTTAATATGCAAAGTATTATGAAATATATATGAAAATACATGTGTGTAAGAAATCACTTATAGCTTACTAAATTTTTTAGCCTGGGAACTTAGAAGTCAAACAGTGAAATTACATGCGTTCCTACTATTTCCATCTTCCAAGCTCTATCTCTTACTGTGAAGTTGGTGCTTCAATGTATGTGAGACTGATAATCTTGCTGTGAACTTCTACCTCAAGCACTAGTAAGTCAAGTCTGGGGCAAGATCAACCCACTGGAAGTCTCTCAATCTCTCCTTCTGATGGTGAGAATGAGGCTAACAGCTGTATTTCATCAAATGCTTTGTGTGTGTGTGTTGTCTTAATTGCTCCCTACCTTTACTTAAAATGTCATATTTAATATACTGTACCAATAACTTTAAAAAATCAAACAAAGAAAAAAAAACTCTGAACAATTTAAGACTTGATTATAATCTTATCTTACCTAAACACATCATAATATGGTAGAGCTGGTCAATGTCAGAATCTCCTGGAAACAGGGGCTCCCCTGTGAGCATCTCAGTTACCAAACAACCGATGGCCCAGATGTCAACGGCCCTGGAAAGAAGCCACCAGGTTAGATCTCCACATTCATACACAACTGAATGGCTACACAGGCTCTGTCCTGCGTATCACTGCCTGATGCTGCTGCCACTGAGAGAAGCAGTGCACTGACAATGACCCCAGAAGGACACTGTTCTGTAAAAGTTCTAACTCTCCATCTCCATCTTCTCTTAAGTGGGGATTCCAGAGACTGCAATCATGTGGCATAAGAGGCAAAGGCTTCTGAAAAGACAAAATCATCTTTATGCATACTTCATCCTGGAGATAAGACTCGGGCTTCCATTCAGAGCCTAGGCCCTCTCTGCTCTGTCCACATGATTCTACCAAGGCTGACAGACTAGTATAGGTATGTTGAAAATGCACACCACAAGATAGGAGGTGGTTGCTGACACAAAGACAGCAACAGGAACTGAAAGCTAATAGGGAAAGCTATTTATAATCTTAAAAATCAATCATAAGGCCTAGAGATATTGCTCAGTCACAAAGCGCTTATCTAGCATGTGCAAGGTCCTGGGTCCAATCCCAGCTCTGCA